TGAATGAACAAATGCTGATAACTGCGTGCAGTTGTGGTGTAAAGTCCTTGTGTTTGCATTTTAGACTCAGGGCAAGTGTCTTCGCCGGGCGGGTGGGGGGAGAAGGGGGGATTCACATGTTCCCTTCTATTGCAGCTGTCCTCAGTTTCTTTCAGTCAGTCGTTGGGTGGAATAATTGTACCCCTTATTATTATAACTTTCATATTTACACACACACACATTTACACACTACCTACACACACGTTTCACACACCACACACACCCAGTCACATTTACACACACACAAACACACTTTTACAATCACACACACTATCGCATCTACACACCCGCACACTTTCTATCTGTGTTAATTCCGGTCCAATCTGTAGTCGGCAACAACTTTCACATTTACACACACGGTCACACCCAAACCGTCTTTTTGTGGGGCTCGAACGTTAGAATTCAACGTTCTGTTTGGTTTTTTAACAAACAGAAAGCCAGACGTAGAGCGACAGAAATTGTTTTCCTCTGTATTAGCCGTATACAAATGACCCGAAAATCCAAACAGACGTTCATTAATTCAGAAGTAAACGCACCACTGGATCCTGGGGTGAGTTAGTATCTCCCCCACCTGTCCTCAGGGTTGACTAGTTTTGTGTGCGTGTGTGCGTGTGGTATGTTATCCCCGTGAAAGAAACAGTGCCTCGGCCTACAAACTAATGGGACTAAAGAGGAATGAGTGCTTCCTGCATCTGCACATCACACCGGATTTTGCACCGAGTAGTGATGGGTGACATACATCACAGCTTATTATACAAGGCTTCTTGTCTGATACGAGAGAACATCAGCTATTTCCTACAGGCACCCATTCATCTCCGCCCTCGTTCCATCTGTGATTTATCGCATATCAAATATTTTCATTGGGAAACAGCTCTGGTTTGACATGAGGCCCGGTTATAAAGTGGATGGGCGATGGTGGGGGTGGGAGGGGAGGGGAGGAGGGAAAGAGATACATAACTGTTTCCTCGGCTGGCTTCTCTTCTCCTCTCTCGCATACAGAGTGGTGCTGTCTGCGCAAATGCAGAGAAAGACAGCAAAGCACAAAAGTTTTGTTGATTAACGAGGAAGAACTGTTTGGAATTAGGGGGTATTTTTCTTTGCAGTTGCATGTAGTTCCAGCGCCTTGGGACATCCTCCCCGCATGAAAAGGCGCAATGCAAATATAATTTGTTGTTGTTGTTAATTGTCTTTTGTAAAGGCCCTTTTTGTGCGCTCATTTCCGTGATAAATGAAAGGAGCTTCAGGATCAGGACAACTCAAACCTGTTACACCGGTCACAATAACAGTTTTTCATCCTATTTTCCTCACGTCCTTTGATACACTTAATACCTAACGGGTCAAAAAGTCAATGCGACCGCCTGCAAAATATACAGTCACTACACTTCGCAGTAATATCCTGTGAAGTGCTTTGAGACACCCTCTCAAAAGGCACGGTATCCAAATGCAAGGGTTATTATTATAATACCCTAATTTTAGGGTACCCCAATACCGTAGTGGAGTCCTGTAGGGTGGGTTAGCACACTCGCCTCGCAAGCAAGAGGACCCAGGTTCGATTCCCGGGCAGGACGAAACAGTGGGCAAGTTTCCTTACTCCACACCCTCTGTTTACCTTGCAGTAAGTAGTTGGTAGTCAATTGGTGGATCGCTTTTTGAGGTTAATAATTCCTTCAAAAGTAACAATAACAATTTGGTCGTCAGTTTATACAAAATACACAGTCAATTCGCTTTACAGTATATTGTGTGAAGAACTTTGAGACGTCTCAATGACATGATAAGGCGCTAGATCAGATTGAAGGATTATTTATGATATATTATTCTAACTCCCCAAGTACCCAGCCATCTCCTGTTCGAACATCCCAATTGATTGTTTACGTGCCTCCAAGGCTTTCTGGAGCAGCGCATTCCACATCCTCACAACTCTCTGTGTGAAGCAAAGATCTCTCCCAGGAACAAAATTGAGATGCCCCTTAATGGCTGGCGATGTACAGACATCAGCCACAGCTTGACACAATCTCTGTTGAACTCTCGTCTCTCGCAGAAGGATTTCCCGGAGGGAAACTCATCAGTCTCCACGGAATCTTCTGTGTCAGGAGGGACCGTGCTGCCCTGGGCAGCTTTATGGCTTAATGGGGTGGGATTGACGGCACGTCACCTTAATGGAGTGTGCCGTAGGCTTGGGAGACCTGGGCTTGACCAGCACACATTCCTTCAAGACTGACTGTCAAGCTCGGCACTGACTTAGTCTAATTCAAGAAGGAAAGGCTTGAGGTCCCCTCCATTCCCACTCCCCACCCCCCCCCCCCCCCCCCCCACCCCCAGCGAGGCAATTGTTACGCGTGATGAGACATCTTATAACGATTCAAGTTTCGAACGCCGCTTTGAGTGGCCGAGAGGAAGGAAACTGCTCTGGGTCAGCGCCTCCTGGTGGCCAAAGCGCAGCATCTGCGCCGAATGCTTGTTGCCAATCAACCTCGTTGCTTGAGCTGATCTGGGTCGGAGCGAGGGAGGGAGGCAGAGAGAGGGAGAAAGAGGGTATCCCTCAAGGGTGGAAGACATGATGCGGGCAGGTGGGGAGAGGGGAAGGAAGGGGTATAATGTAGAAGAGAAAAAGTACGAGATAAGTAACCCACCGCCCTGAAATAAAACGTTTAAACACGAAATGAGCAACAGTGTCCTGAGGGTTATGATTCCATTCTGTCGCTACTCCTTAATCACCGCATTATCCAGTATCATGGGGTCCTGGGACAGAATTATAATCCGCTGCCTACTGATAGCGTAAAGTAAACATGCTTCTCATAGCTGGGTGACACATTGCTGAACGAGGCGGTGTGTGTGTTTGTGTGTGTGCGTAATTCACAGACCCTGACAGTGGGGGGGAGGGAGTGAGAGAGAGAGAGAGAGAGAGAGAGTGGGGGAAGAGGGGCTCAGTGTATGAAGGGGCCCCTTTGTTTCCGAGAGCTCAGGGAAGACAGCCTGTCGGAGCTGATGGGAATCAGGGGAGAGACAGATGCACACCGCCCCAGTCCAGCCGCGCTGACCACTTGTTTGGCTTTTCCACACCCGAGAAAAAGGCCAACGGATCCTCGGAACGCAGCTGGCACCTGCCCAACTGGTGGGGGAGTGGTGGGGGGTGGGGGGGGTGTGGGGTCCAGCCTGAAAGTTCCCATTGTGCGACGGGACATTGGTGCTTTTGAGCCCCAGCCGTTGAGGCTCAGCTGTTGGCTTTGGCTCGTGTTTCCACGGCTGGAGCAGAGGAGGCCTCCCTCAGTTGTTCCGCAGCCCAGACAGGTGGAGCTGTCACTCGCGAGTGGAGGTTGCAGCTGGATTCGAAACGCCTCCCCGAGGGATTGATTAGTTCGCTCACTCCAAGCCGGGAGTGGGGTGGGGGGGTGGGGGTGAGGGAGCAGGTGACCGTAGACACGGTCGAAGAGGAAGGTCTTCAGGCACGACCTGCAAATTAGGAAGGAGGTTTATTACTTTTTAACTCTTACTATAATTATTCCTAATAATAATTATTATTATTGTTATTATTAACAAGGTCATTACTCGTGAGCTAACCGCGCAACTTTGCTTTCCTTTGTAATAAAGTTAAAAAGGCAAACGTCCGATACGGTTTTTGTCATCCAATGCATATACAGAAAAACCCAAATAGGGGTGTTGTTCCCCCCACCAGCCCTCGCCCCCCCCCCCCCACCCTACTCCCCAGCCACCAATTGAAAGCAACATGGAGGAGGCTGTATAATCTCTGAACCCTGCTATAAGTAATGAGACATCCAGCTGGAAAACCAGGCCGGGGCTGACAGTGTGACTGCAGCCTCACATCAGGTCCCGTCTGACCTTAAGGCCCTCGTACTTGCTTCCCAATCGTTATCTTTGACCCCTGCAGCAAAGTGCGTACTTGAACACAAGACGAGCCTGATAAGGTTAGGAAGCAATTTACTTCCGTTCCCCCGCTCCACTCGCCACTGACACCTCGCTGTCGAGATTCACACATGAGGAACGACCATTGACCGAGGTATCAGACGTCCCAGTGAACGATCGATGCTCCAACTGAGGCCGGTGCCTTCAGGGGAGGAAGGACACGGGAGTCCTTTTTTCTCGGTTGGCTCTGTTTTGTTCCTTTCCTCTTGCCCTTCGTGCTCGGACGAATAAACGCCAGTTCCGATCCATTTAGTATCTAACGTTGTACAAAATCTCTGCGAAAAGGTAATTTGTTCGAGCACCACATTGCCTCGCGCGCCGCTCGGGAGACTGTTTGCGAGGCTGCGGGTTTTCTGTGACCTCGGCCTGAAGGACGAGAAGAATACCCTTATCGACGAAAAGTCCCAACTCGTGCATTTTTGAATCGGGGAAATTAAAACAAATCCACAGTAATAATCATAATAATCCTTGCATCTGAACTTGTGCCTTTCACATCATCTCAAAGCACTGCACAAGACAAACGGTAAAGTGTAGTGACTGTGTGTTTCGTGGCTGAACGCAGCAGCCAATTTGCGCACAGCGATGCCCCACAAACAGCCAGCCGTGAGGCGAATTACCAATTTTATCGGGTGGGGTGGGGGGAGAGGTGGGATTGTTGGTCGGGACACCAGGAAAGAGAAACTGCCTTCTCTTTTCCAATAGCGCCATGGGATTTTAAACGACCATCTGATCAGGCGCAGAAGGGTCCTCAGTTTATAGTATCTTATCACATCACATCTTCGAGACGTCTCAAAGCGCTTCACGGGATTTACTGTAGAGCGAGTTGACTGTATAGTTTGTGGGCGAAATATGGCAGCTAATTGCGCACAGCGGTGGTAAGAAGGTGGATGGGGGGGGGGGGAGGGAGGGAGGGAGAAGGGAGGGAAGGAAATAAATGACAAGAGAATTAAGAAGTACGTGCTGGCCACAGCTGGGATGTGACTCCAGACGTCAGGCTGTGTTGTTTATTTGCTTCATCGTGTGTTTGTTTCCTCCCGCAGCTCTCGAGGGTACCAGTGGAGTCGTGTGAACAGTACGAAACCTGCAGCGAGTGCCTGAGTTCGGGAGACCCCCACTGCGGCTGGTGCGTGCTTCACAACATGTAAGTGTTGAGCGGATGTGCTGTGCCGTGTTTATTCCTCGGCTTCACAGAAGGCGTCTTCTTCCTTTTCGTTTCATGATTCGGATTGTCTCATCACATTCAGCTCTTTCCAACGTTATCGTGGGGAGGGAGCGAAGGAGGGAGGAAAGGAGGGAGGAAGGGAGGAAAGTATTAGGGGACAGTTTGTCTGAAAGGGCAGCAGCAAATGGAAAGAGAGGAGGTGGACACACTGTTGGCCTGGAAGTTTGTGGCCAGTTAGCCCTTTGAGGGGGGACCATGTCTCACATCTCTCTCTCTCTGGTTCTGGGTTTGAACCCAGACGTCCCTCAGACTGAGAGTGAACGAACGGGGAGACGGGACCTCAGTTCAGCGTCTCGTCTGAAGGACAGTGCAGCACACCACACTCCTTGAACCTTCTGACTCACAGGCGAGAGTGCTGACGCCCGTTACCGCCTAAATTATTGCAAGACAGACCGGATAACAATATGTATGCAGCCATTTGTAGTTGAGTTGGATTGAGGAACTTTGAATACTCGTGCCCCGAGGTTATTTCCATAATAAATTCCATGATAAATTCTGCAAGATTTCAAGTAAACAGACTTGGCAAAGTCATAAATGACTCATGGGGCCAAGTTGGTGAGTTAGAAAAGAATGAAAATCAGGCGTATCGCATTTCTGAAGTTAATCGAGTCTGCACACTTCAAGATTTTGAAGATTATAGATCTGGTATTTTTTTAAAAAGAAAATATATTCTTTCACATGTTTATCACAAGCACATTTATTGGCTCTTTGAAGAATGAAGGCCTCTGTCGTTTATGGAAATCAACCGCCTACACCTCCGGTGCTGTGCACAGCCATAAATATCGGCTTCCGAATGAATACACAACAAAGTACCTTGTGTAAAGTGCGTCAGAGAGAATAATAATTTCGTGCCTGTACTAGAACTTCAGTAGCTGAGAACAAAGGATTTTTTTTAAGGTGGTTTTCGGATGTTGCTATCTCTCACTGTGTTGGAAACTCAAAACACCATTGGAAATAGGTCCCAAACAGGACCACATGCCTTTCCTGAGTGAAGGGTGCCACGTAAATGCAAGTTGTTGTTGCGGTTGTCATCAAAACGTACGACATCTTCTCGCATCACAGTATTTGTATGCGCCTGTTTGGCATCGTTGGCGCATCTCTTGCCTCTGGCGCAGTAGGTGACAGGTTCAAGCCTCCACACCAGGACTTGAGCTTGCTATCTAGGATGGCACTCCAGTGCAGCGCTGGGGGAGAGAGCTCCTTTGTTGGAGGGGTGGGGGAGGCGGTAAAACTGAGGCCGTGTCTGGCAGTTTTGACAATTCAGGTTCAAATGGGACTATTTTCACGAGAGCGTAGAGTTCAAGTATCCTGGTCAATATTCTTCCTCCATTAAAAGTCCCCCCACCCCCACCCCAAAGAAAAAAAGATTGATTAGTTCTTTATATCATTGCCGTTTGTGGGACGATGGCTTTGTAGATTAGCTGCTGCTTTCGCCGAGGCAACAAAAGTAGCCACACTTCAAAGCAACTCACTGTGAGAAGCGCTTTGAGATTTTTCAACACGATAAGGTTCAGGGTCAAATTATATCTTTGAGAATGCACGTCAACCATATTTCCTGCTGCAGTTAAACTATAGTCTGCGCTGGTTTAATGCCTTTTCTATGGGGAAAAAAAGTAGGAAACACTCTTTCAGTGAGCGAGTAGTAAAGGTACAGAACCGGCTCCCTAGGAGATGGGGGAAGCAGAAAGTATCTATCCTCTCAAGGACAGATGAGATAGATGTCTGTTAGGAAATAACACAGAGGACAATTTGGGACACGACAAGTCATAACAATACAAATAACAATCCTTGCATTTGATACAGCGGCTCATCAGGTCTTCGAGCCGTCTCAAAGCGCTTCACAGGATGCACCGTGAAGTCAACTGACTGCATATTTTTGTCATGCGACTGCCAGAATGGTGGAAGGTGTAATGGATGGACCGTTCGCCCAGCAAATTCTTTTGTCCTGATGTTCTGCATGGAAACCGACCTCAAAGGTGTAGAATAACTGTGGGCGAATGGGCATCGAGTCAATTTCAAGTGCGAGACAAAAGCGCCCTTCCAGTCGGCATCCCTCGGGTAACCTGACCACACACAAAACTGTTACAGCACAAAGCTTGCTCAGCAAGCGTTTAAATGTTTAATTATACCTGCCTGGGCGATGGAAAACAAGACAGTGATTTTCTTTCTGATAGCACTTAGGTCCACTGCTCTTCACCCTCTTGCTAAACCTGCTCCTAATACTTTCCAGAATTAGGTAAAGCAGGATGCGTCCATCCAGGGAGAGACAGAGAGAGAGAGAGAGAGAGAGCACATTCCATTCCAACACTCTTATCTCTGGGCTCTCCATGTGTAGGTGGGATGCAGGGTATTCTCAGTTTGGTTCGGATACTCTTAACGCGCGGTAATGGGTTTCCGCGTGTGCCAGACACCCGGCTGACCCAAAAAAAGAAATCTCTTCGCCTTCGGGAAAATCCTGTCATCAAAATTGGTCCGATGCCAGAGCAGGAATCTCAATCCAAGGAAACTAAACAATCCCTGGGCTTGGAGCAGGCAGACGAGGTTGGGGTGAAAATGCATCCAGTTGACTGTTGAGTGCAGACATTTCTATCCACTCCCGCACCAAGCAAGGCAGCCAGTAGTTAACTTCAATCAATTCTGTATAGACTTGCTTCCAAGTACACCTATAAGCCTGTGTGTGTCTGTTTTACTTGCAAATTAATTTTTTTGGAAAATCCTTGAACTGCATAAGCTTAGACATTAAACCTGGGCGGAGAGGTTAAAGCCCCTCGGTTCGTTTCTTTGGAGTTGCAAATAGAACCGAACTGTTCAGTTTAGGCGTCGGAACACATCAGAAAACTGTTTCGCAGACGACAGCTAATTACGGGACTAACACGGAGCATTTGTCAGTTAATATAATGCAATTCATGAATACCGTGGTATTATAGTGTCTTTTTTTTTGGCGACAACATAATTGCTTACCTCTGCAAAAGGAATATTCCCTCAGTACCGAGGATTGGGCTCCACTGGGTCATTACAGCGTGAAGGATCACTACAGCACAGTACCATTCTGACAGCTTGGAAAAAAATTGACGTATGGCTTTATTACCGGAGCCCGTCAGTGCTGAACGCCTGATGGCTTTGAGGGTTTGATCAGTAAGGAGGAGTCTGAGGAGTGTGAAGTCATGTCGAATATTCTCGTTTAGAACTGCTTATTAAAGTCGCTGCATGTCGGCTGAAAGTGACGGATTGAAACAGGGGAAGCGATGCTGTCATTTTATTTAACACGGACGAGTTCGATTCGGGGAAGTTTGATCTCTTGTCTTCGAATCCACAAACAACAACAACTTGCATTGATAGAGCGCTGACTGAAGTACATGTTTCACGCAGCGATTCACGCAGTGAGCGTGAAATCCTAGTCATTGCTCTCGCCTCCCCATCGCCCTCGACACTATAGCATCCCTTCTCTCCACCCCTCTCCCTCTTCAGCCATCTACACTGTTGTCCTCGAACTCCGTTCAGGCCCAGAGAAAGAATCTGGAAGTTTCCTGATCGTTATTTCTCGCTGTAATTACCAGGTTTGTGCATTTACTCAGCGAGAGTCACCAGAGGAGCTTTTACAATAGCTGTAGACGACACACGTTTTGTCAAATGCGAAATGCCATTATCACGGTGTGAACGGCTGGGTCTCAGTGCACACACTTCGCCCAGATGATGGGTTACTTTCATGAATTCCACAAAGTACCCTTTGTGGTCTTTAGTTCGTCACAAAAAGGTTACGAAGTCAGCCGTAAATCAAGGAATAAATCTCCGCTAAGGCTCAAGCTATCCAAAGAGGTGATTAAGTGCGCAGGAGACCTAATTGTCCACGTTTTCTGGAGGGATGCTCAGCTCCTGTCTTTGATGAGGAGATCAGAGCAGAGCTTCACATAACTGCCAGCGCGAAAGCCAATAAATATGTAAAATGGCTGATTTTAATAAGTCGTAATTGGTTATAAACATTAGGCGTAGAAGTCTTAAGTGCTGGAAGTTCATCTGGTACCAAGTCGGATGGTTAATCGTTTCAGCCACTCTTGAGTTAATGAAAAGTCAAAGTACTGTAACATGCAATATATAATTGTGAAGCATGGGCATGTAATAACACTGGGGATTGTGTTGTAGTTTCCTCGAGCTCGGAGCATGAAATAATGGCGAATAATGCATCATTCTATTGGGTTGGACATAAGGCTGTACACATCATCTCAATCAATATTACTTAATTACAGAACACCTCTCTGAGTTCATTATTGTCGTAATGCTGTGGAGAGTTCAACATTGATTTCTTCTTATTAAATAGGCAGTGTGTGTGTGTGTGTGTGTGTAATAATAATGCCAATTCTGAGCTGGTTAGTCGCAGTACGCTGTGGGACATTTGATGGAAGCTTTTTGAAAACCGTTCCAAGGCAGGGCCAAATCCCCTCTTGCCCGTCACTACCCTTGACCTGCAAAGTGTAGTGACTGTGTGTTTTGTAGGCAAACACGGCAGCAAATTTGCACACGGCAGTGGCAGTGAGGCGGGGGTGTGGCGGGTGGGGGATTGTTGGCCAGGATACTGGGAGAGAAAAACTCCCTTCTATTTTCAAACAGTGCCATGCGATCTGTACAGGCAGATGGGACCTCGGTTTAACGTCTCATCTAAATGCCCCAGTCAGCTGCAATGGGTGTGGGCACTCACTGAAGTGCCAGCCTAGACTGAGTTCAAAGTCCCTGACTTGGGGGCTTGAACCCCATAACCTTTTGCTCTCGTTGTCCAATCATTTGCGTTTGTAACGATCCCACAGTAACCAACCACTTCACTTTAGGGCCAGGGATATTCAGATCGTCGCAGGGTAGATTACTGCGTGTGCGATCAGTTGTAAATGACTTTCAGCACTTTATCACCAAGAGGAAACCTAGAGAGGAATTGAAACGGAGGTCAACCTACGGAATTGTTGAACTCTCTGAGTGCACACAATGCCCTGTTTTTCTCTGTACTTCCTCTCCTGGTAGAGGGCTGAAAAGCAGTAGAGTAGAGAGTATGGGAGAGGGGAGAGGTGACCTCAGTGTAGGCATGGAATTCCAGAGGGTGGGGCAGATATGCTGAAAGCCCCAATCATGGGATGAGGATATAACTTGAAGAACAACATGTACGCACCTCCTATCATCTGTAAAGGAACTCTTTTAGAGCAGGAAAAAAGGCCATTTGTCTCAACACCTTGATTGTTCTCAACGCAAGTTTCCTGCATCCTCACCGGTTTCCCCCAATCCCACTTTCTCCGAAACCCATCCAATCACCACTTAATCCCATGTATGTCCTTCATCCCATCCCCCCCCCCCCGCCCACCAACCCAGCAGCTGATGTTAAGAGCAGAGGGGCTCTTGAGGTCTGTCAGCCCCCCCGCCTCCACACACACACTCACATTTCCGCCACATCAGTGTGGGGAATGAGGCCCCGGGCAGTCTTAATCTAATCAATGTCTTTGTTACGTAACGCACACAAGCACTGACCTGCAGCGTGATTACAAGTGAAACCACATGTCAAAGGTGCGCATCAGAGATTAACACCTCATCAGTCACTCAGAAATACAGCTGGTGCAACAGGAGACTTGTAAACTCTGATGTGAACCTGGCGAGTTTTATGAGAACCCAGTCAGAGGTCAAGAACGGCCCGAGGCAGGCAGCGAGGCGAAACAGACGGCGAGAGCATTTGCGTCCGCACGGAAATGAGGGACAGGACTGTGCAGGAACCGATCGTGAGATTGGAATCTGATCGAGGGAGTTCAATTGGCAAACACGAGACTCCGAGCCCTTCGGGTTGGGGTTACAGCTTCGAAATTGCTCTTTCCATCTGTTGTTTATCACGCCCCGCTCTGTTTTGTGGTCGGGTTTCCGTCTTATTGTTTGCAGTCAGCCCGGTGTGTCTGGAAGGTGCGTGACTAGGTGACGGAGCTGTGGCTCGACTAAGTCACACCGGACTGTGGTTTTATCAAACAAAAACATTAGGGTGCTGGCGGGCAGGACTGTGTCAACTCTGTGCCCGCAGTAATGATAAACCTGTCGCACGCAAACGGGAAACGGTTTGGGTTTCGGATAAACGCTGTACTGTTTGAAGCCCCGTGTATTCGAAGCAACGAGACACTATATGAATGCAAGTTGTTGTTGCTGTATTTTACCCTTGCCTCCTCACATCTCTGTGAGGTTAAACTGGCGTTCGCATAGAGGGTTAATGCCTGGTGGTTGTTTTTTTTTGGGTATCACTGTATCAGGTTTCCATATCAGAATAATCTACAGTAAACTGCTTCAGGGGAAATTATTGCTGAGTGTACTGGCGTGCAGTTCTAGGGCAGGGCGAGATGTTAAGCAAGTTTCCTGACTCCACACACCTCTGCTTACCTAGCAGTAAGCAGGAACCCATTTTTTAGTGGATTGGCAGATTGCTTTCCGGGGAGTAATAGACCCTCCAAAATACTGCGGTCGCTCAATCCACGACTATCCGTGGGGACACCGCTGGGCGCAGTTGGCTGCCGCGTTTCGCCCACAGAATACACCGTCAATTCTCTTCACAGCATAACCTCCGAAGCGCTTTGAGACGTCTCGAAGACGTGATAAGGCGCTGTATCAAACGCAAGGATTATTATTATTATCAGATGCCCTGAACTGCACGTTTGCAATACAAACCAGTTACGCAGAAAATGCAGAGGGCAAAATGCAGACAGAATTGCAAGCATGTCCCAGGCAGAATCAGCTGCTGCAGTCATTTTGTTTTCCGATGCTTTTTTTTTCCGCCCCCCCCCCCCCCGCCCATCACTCCTCGCTTCCCCCGTCTCGCTCCATCACCTGCTCAGTCTTTGACATCATCTGCTCCGTCTCTGGAGGTTGGAGGTGAGAGTTAAATATTCATGAAGGTTGTACGGCTAAAGAGCACACACTGGAACCGACCAAATACTTTCAGTGGGAATTCCAAATCAGCGCAAGGAATTAAAAATCAATTCATCATTATTCAAGAGAAACCCCGCTCCGCATTAATCAGCCGTATCGGGTTCTTGAGGGTGAGCAAATATTAAATAATACAGAAAAATTTCCGCAGACCTAGTCAGTTTAGTTTAGCGATTGGAAGTTCGGAATGCGTTAACGCGCTCACAATTTGTCCTGCTTAATGAAAACGGGAATGCGTTGTATAAATGATGTGCAGAGGATAATGAGGCATTTTTCCCTCTCCAGTATACAATTGAAGCACAGCAGCGAACATGCATTTACGTAGCGCTTTCAGTGGCGGGGTTAGATGCAAAGCAAGGGAGTGGGTGGGGGGGGGGGGCGAGAGAGATGGTTCAGTTACCGTAGGTCTGGTCTGAGAGGCAAAAATAATAATAATAATCCTTGCATTTGATACAGCGCCTTCTCACGTCTTCGAGGCGTCTCAAGGCGCTTCCCAGAATATACTGTCAAGTGGATGTTTTGTGGGCGAAAAAGGTTTTACAAAACAACACAATTTACATTGATGTACAACAGCTGCTTTTCACGTCAGGAGGACACGTGATTGACGACAGATAGAGAGTGGGAGAGGGAGGGAGTTCCAGAGGTTACGAGTGTCGAGTCTGAAAATATTTTCCTCTGGATCCCGTCTCCTCTTCGAGAAGCAAGTTCGGTGATATCACCCGGTCACAATGCGTCAGTCCGTACAGGTCACACCCAGCTAAGCATCATCCTTACGTACCTTTAGAAATAACCTGCTGCGGCTGGCTGACATAGAGCGTCATAAGCTCGACAGCAGAGCAGGGAGATATGAAAGGCCTTGACCTCCTTTCCGGACCTTGGGATCTCACTTTTGGCGCTGAAACCCTGGACAGCAGAAGGTTACTGAGCAAACCTACCCGTCTAAAGCCTGGTGCGCAGTGTGTTGAGCGGCTAATTTAATTCAAATGAATTCCTCCCACGGCTGGCGAATTGATTCTGAGCGGCCTGGATGTAAACCCAAGGGGGTGGTGGAGGGGGCTGGGGTGGGGGGGCGTTCTGTGCGCGTGACCGCAGGGGGTGAGTAGTTAGAGAACGGCACACAGCTTGGGTCATAATGACCGAGCTGAATGGAGTCTCAAGTGGTTTGTAAGTCTTTAATGGAGTTTGGCTACCGATATCTCTCTGTGAAGAAGGGGAACGTTTTGAGTTCACTGTGGCCCGGGGTGAATTAAACGACGGAATTGAATATAACGCTTATTCACTTACAATATTAAATATTGTGAGTCGGTCGTTTCTGGATTCCTCCCGTTCACCCGTCGCTCTGTTCCTCTGCTTCCCCTTCCCAGGTGCTCGAGGAGAGACAAGTGCGAGCGGGCAGAGGAGCCTCACCGATTCGCGGCCGTTATCGACCAGTGCGTCAAGCTGAGCATCCGGCCCAACAGCATCTCTGTGTCCGAGCACACCGTACAGGTCAGCATCCGCTAACCAGCGAAATAAACGTCCGCGTTTGCTCCCTCATTACCTCAGCAACTTTACATTGTGCGTTCGGTCACCCTCCTAACCCTACCCCCCCCCCCCCCACCCCCAGCTCGGGTCCAAATCCCTGACTGTCCAGCGCCTTGGGACGTCCTCCCGACGTGGAAGGCGCCGCACAAATGTAATTAGTAAGCGTTGCCTCAGGCTGTCATGCTTGCGGGGGAGCTCAGTACATTCAGTGATTGATGTGGATAATTTTGAACAGATTAAAGTCTGCAGAACAACCTGACATTAATTTTACTGGGAGCCACATATGACGGATAGTGTCGAGAAAGGAAAGTCCTCGCTCTGTGTGGCAGCAGGTGCTCCTATGAGGCCTGGGCTTGAGGCAGCTCTCGACAGCGCATCCAAACCGAGCCTGAAAGTTGCCGCGGTTGCTGACTGGAAGTACAGAAGAAAGCAGATCATTATCGTGTCGCGAGTTAAACAGAGTTCTAATTTTTGCACCTCTCTCTCTCTCTCTCCCCCCCGCAGCTCACCCTGAAAGTTAGCGACGTCCCAGACCTCTCCGCGGGGGTGGTCTGTGCTTTCAAGGACTTGACTGAGGTCGAAGGACTGGTGCTGGGCGACGAGATCATGTGCGTGTCACCGGCTGCCAAAGACGTGCCCGCCATTGTCACAGATCAGGGTAAGGGAAATGGCCAGAGCAGCGCCCCTCTCCGTTAGTTAATCTCCTGTTCTTTTTGGTTAGCCGGGTGTCTGACATATTCGGAAACCCATCACCGCGCTCAAAGAGTATCCAAACCAAACTGAGATCTCCCTGCATCCCACCTACACACGGAAATCCCAGAGATAGATGGTTGGAACAGAATGCACACTTTCTCTCTCTCTCTTTCTCTCTGGAGGGATGCATCCTCCTTCCCTAATTCCGGAAAGTACTAGGCGCAGGTTGGAAAGATCCAAGGCTTGGGTGGTGGGGGAGGGGTGTGGGGGGAGGGGAGTGGGGGCAACCCAGATTGTGCATCGGGGTAACTGCTGGAGTCTCACCAGCTGAAACCCAAAAGCAAGAGCTGAGCCCTGTGCACGGGGACACGACACAGTGACATTACATGATGCTGCCTGAGGCCAAAGAAAGTTAGTGGAGGCCAATAGAACAAGAGAGAGATCAAGATAACGTGAAACTGCTGGGAACCCAGTACAGGATTAGCTGGTGGAAACCCAGTTTGTTTGTTTAGCAAACACACCCAGGGTTGAGGTCGGCATTTGTTTTTGATGGTTTATCTTGAACTACCGGGCATTTAAACAGGACCTTATTATTTCGGTGAATGCTTTTGAATTGAGTACTTGTGAGGTCAAGCAACTTCAATTAGAACTTTTTTTTTTGAAGCGAAGCAGGAGACTTTCCTGCAGTCAGGGGGGTGTCTGCGTGTGGGGGGTTTTTTTTTCGCTTGTGGACGTACTTAAAGGTTTCTTATCTTTTGCCCGATAATTTCTGACTGAACGCAGCCCACGGGGAAATGCGTCACAGTCATCGGAGGCTGAAAGTGGTGCCTGGCTGCTCAGTGATCTCATTCACTTCCCCTTCTCTGCCGTCCTCCTGCCTTTGGCTTTGATCGAGCGCTCAGCGTTGACTGTAAACAAGTACAGACCACGATGTTGTCCCCACCAAGCCATTGGCGTCATTCAATTTGAAGGCCAGGAGAAGTCCTGTGGAACCATCAGCAAAGGTGGTGGATTGTTAGCTCAAAGCAACCTGGTGGGTCGGGAATGTTAGGGCTTCCATCACTTCTTGGTCAATGAATTAAACCCAAACTTTTTGCCTCTCAGTCTCTCTCCCCGTATCTCTTTTCTCAATCTCAACTACTCACTCTTTCTTTGCACCTTGGTTCTCTTCTCTCTCTCTCTCTCTCTCTTTCTCTCTCTCTTTCCTATCCCTTCCAATCCCTTCCACGTCTGTGCCCTCTCCTTTACTCTCATTCTCCCTCCCGCCTGCTCTAAATCTCTCGTTCTCTCTCCGCTCGGTTTCCCTCTCACCTCACGCCTCCCTCCCTGAACCCTACAGCGGGAAAAGCCAGGCAGTAAATAATCTGCGTCACAACTATTTACTTATCAGCAAATTCAGTTCAAATTGCCGTCTCGTTCCCCCTCCTCCCACACATCATTCTGCCTTGGAAAGGACACAGTTGACTTTGTGTGATCATATTAAAACCCATCAAAATCAAATTATAGCAACTAATTGCTTAGAGTGCAACCACAGTTTCCCCATGACCCTGTTATTTTCCTGAGTGCTACTGAATTGGATAATGGAAATTGCACTGAGTGTGGGACCTCCCGAAAAACCATCCAGATGTGATCCCTCGGTGGTGCCAGCAACCAGCTCAGTCACTCAGGGCTCCCACTTCCTTGTTTGCTGCACTTTCCCGATCGGAGATTGACGTGCCTGAGTCTGTCAGGCGAGCGTTTATAATCTCGAGTGTTTCAGTGACCGAAAAAGCCAATCAATAAAAACAATTTGAGAGCCCAAGTACTCCCACTTTCACAGCGGAGAGTAGAGGCAGGGAAACAGGAAAATGGTGGATGCTAACATTATCGAGGAGGGAGGTTAGAATGGGTTGAAGATACATGGGTTGTTACGCGTCATTCAAGGGGTGGGGGAGGCGCCATCGAATCCCACCCAATGCTATAACTGGGCTTTACCGCTGGCCCCTTCACGGTGTGTACTAAGAGGCAGTCATCTCCCATCGGTGCTTGGAAGCACAGGGCCGCACAGGTGAAGCCAAAGAAGCCAACTTCCTCGGCATTCGGTCACCGCTGACATCAATTCCTATGCGTGTGCAGGAAGTCAAGTCGGGGGGAACCCAGTGACTCAGAAGTTGGTTATCGTGTTAGGGCGGGGAGCTGCCTGTCTTTCCCCCACGCTCGCACAGTCAATGCAGACATGCCGATCAGCCATCACAGCACCTTTAGAGGGTCGGGATTTTATGCACCCCCAGAACGCTATCTTACACTAGGGGTTCTGCTCTGGAACGTAAAGAGCTTTCTCACGGTCCATAAACAATTTGAGACCATCATTTGGGGTCGTTCAATGTCTTCGCCCTCTTATCTTTCCCCGCTCCCCAGCACGTTCTGTTTGCAGCGCGGAGGGGGAAAAATGTAATACTGCGTCGAAACAAATGTGTGTATTTTTTCAAATTAAGTTTCTTCCTATGGGAGCGAAAAAATGCAGAGGCCAGATTGATGCTTTCCATGATGTCATTTGACTTGAGACAAACTCCCGAGCCCTTCTCCCTCCCCCACCCTCCCCGGCTTCGGCCTGTGTGTGTGGGCGTGGAGTCAGAGAAGAACCGGCTGTTTGTTAAGAGGGAAAAACAAAGACACTGGGTGGAAATTTGTGAGCTTCCATAATCAATCCAACATGATAACTGTCACAAGGACTCTGTTATGGAATGTCACAAACTTACCGCCGCCCCCCCCACCCCCATACCCATTGCTCCCATTAAATCAAGAGCTAAGCCTTAGGATTATTTTTATTTGGGGGCAATGGGGGGGGGGTGGGGAGAAGTAAGCAAAAGTTTGAAGTGAATAATGACACGGCGTCTTGTCAGATCATTTTATTATTCCTGTTTCCAACCAGGCTGCAGGTTGACGTGAGAAATGATCACTTAGGCAAGCGATTGTGATAATAAAACGCTTACAAGCAGCCTCTGACAAAGATGCATTGTTTCAAATGAAAATGCAGCGCTCCTTTTGATCTCGGGGAAGGTGCACAACAGCCCAGGAAGAAAAGCGGGGCCTGCTGAGAGAAGTGACGGCCTTTAATCACTCTTTCCTTTTTTTTTGTGTCACGGTATCAATTCAAAAGGGTTTGAACGCCCAAAGCTTCTGCCAGGGAAGATTCCGTTCTGCGTTACCAATTCCGTTGACGTCGATCACGCCAGGATCAGGATTTTTCCCCCTCTGCGTTCGGCAGGACGGGAATTATTATTATTTATTTTTTACCTCTTGCTCGCTCACTCGCCCGCTCGCCCGCTCTCGCAGCTAAGTTCTCCATCTCTTCCACCAGTTAACGTATTCCTTTACGCACAGCAAACAAGCGGAATCGTCCAGGGTTTGCGACAACGCAGTCGATCCACGTTAAGAGTTTTCAGCGCTAACCGCTGTGTTCTTCCGGCAGACTGGATCGGGGTGGAACTGCGACTGAAATCCAAGGAGACGGGACGGATGTTCGCAAGCACGGAATTTAAGTTCTTCAACTGCAGCGTCCATCAGCTGTAAGATTGTTTCCTATTTTGAGTCATTCGCCTGTTTTATAGACACGTCGGGGAAGGTTAACTCCCAAATCCTCCCCCAAAACGAGTCACTGCTGTTCGAACCGATGTTCCCGTATCTGTGAAATAAACTGCCGGGCCAACGTTCACTTGTGGTCACGGCGAGAAGTCCGTTTGTCTAATCTGCCGCCTTTTGTGTTGTGTGGCCTTTGCCTTTCCAGGTGCCTGTCCTGCGTGAACAGCGCGTTCCGTTGCCACTGGTGTAAATACCGCAATCTCTGCACTCACGATCCAAGCACCTGCTCGTTTCAAGAGGGACGAGTCAACGCCTCTGAGGTAATGCGATCTTTCACTTCACCCTCCTCGATAAGAGAAGGATGTCTTTCCCCCCCTCCCCCAACTCCTCTGAAGAATGCTCAATGAAACAGATTGTCAGTCTGATTACTCCGGCAATTGTTCAAGTGAAGAGAGTCAGACGTCTCTATCACCCCAGTGTTTTGTATTGGAAATGCCAAATGTCTAGATTTAATTAAGTGCATGTCCACGCGCTGTGTGAGATCAATAGGGACATTTTAAGTGCGTGTTTTCTCAGGCAGGTAAGTGGAATGTCCGCAGAGTGACGCAGTGAGTCAGTAAGATTTAGCCTGCGTTGGTCCTTTGCTGGAGGTGAAGGGAGCAGTGGTTTGAACGTAAGCTCGTCGATGGTGCTTCGTTGGTGCGATAAACAGGCGATGTGCACAACGAGAGATCGCCTTAGCTGGGGTTCCGGGGAGAGAGAAGTGGAGGCCGCAGAAGGGAAGTTGGAGAGGAGAGTGTTTCTCCGAGTGTCCTGACCAACAATCCTCCAGATAAATAAATCTGATCATTCACACCATTGGATCTTTGAGGTGCCTCTTGCGTGCAAGGCTCGTGGAAATCCAGAACTCGCTCCCCCCAAAAAGGCTGTGGATGCTGGATTCATTCAAATTTTCAAGACTGCAGTGGATAGATTTTTGTTAGGTCAGGGTATCAAGGGATGTGAGACAAAGGCGGGTAATTGGAGTTGAGGTACAGATCAGCCATGATCTAATAGAATGGCGGAACAGATTTGAGGGGTTGAATAACCTACTGTATGCAACTCCTGTGCTTGCCTACACATGTACAGTTACTACGTTTGACAGCAATTACCTGAGAAGCATTTTGAGATGTTTTGACACTGTAGACCCCACGTCAAATGTCTACCTTAGGAAAGGTAACCAATGGCTCGCTCTTTTCACGTCCTGACTCTTGGCTTTAGAGCAGCATAGATGGAGACCTGGGAGCGCTCACTGGCCTGGAGTTCGGAGTGGGTTTGGGTAGGATCCGAGTGCAGGACAACCTGGCACAAAACTTTGGGGGGGGGGAGAATCGACAAGCGTGCAATATCAACTGAACACACAACACTTTATTTACGATGCCAGTGATTTTAATTGCATTTCCCCACGGAGCCGATGCCATGCACTACCTTTTCCATGACAATCTCTGGGCCTCTGGGGAATTGTTCTGCCAAAGAGAATCTTCTGTTTGTGCAGATTGACTCATTAAGTCCTTGATGATTACAGGCAGCGCAGTTTACGCTTCAAAAGTGGGAGAGGCATTATTGAGCGCATGGGAGTTGTAAATATGGGCCGGGGAAGTATTCCAGTCAGTGGGAGCTTTGCCGCGTGTGGTGGCAACGTTAACAATACCTAACCGTTGCAGTCTGGCTGGTTCCGTCGAAGAGATGTGCAAATTATACTAACGTATGGAAATTTATGCTAAAGTGAGACTCCCATTTTGTCAAAAAAAAACTAATGTGATTGCCACCAGCCTTTCTATACAGTTCAGGAACACTCGCTTCGAGAAATTCCTTGTGGAATACTGAATCATTGTTTCCAGCAAATGTTTATTCATTAAAACTTGAGGGAAGAAAACTATTTTTTTTTCGATGATTTTCTAAGCTGCCTTTTTCTTAGACTCCCCGGCAGATCGGACAAGATTTACGAGCGGAAGATTAAGAGTGATAGAGTTTTAATGATAACTGGGTAATATTGGAACCGGAACCCAAAAAAAATGCGGCTAATGTGCAAGCAATCAGCTAACAGAGAATCGTATTAAAAAAACATTTGTCCTTGTCATTTGAGGTGACTATAGATGTCGGGTGAAACCTGTTTAAAAACACATGCAATGACAATTCAGCAAAATAACATACCCTTTGGGTTCTTTTAGTGCGATCTCTCAGAACTCTCAACCTTATAGATCCCTGATCACGCTACAAGTGAAATTTTTTTTGTGTCAAACAACCAACATGAAGATAAACTGAAAAGAATAGAATGCAGATAAGGTCAAGCCATCCAGACTTTAAACCACTCGTTAGCTAAGTTAACTGCTCCCACGGGTGAACAACCACAACAACGACAAAATTACATTTGTATAGCGCCTTTCACGTCGGGAGGACGTCCCAAGGCGCTGGACAGACAGAGTTTCGGACCTGAGGTAGGGGTCAGGGTTGGGGAGTGTGGAGGGGAGAGGGGAAAGCAGGGAGATCGAAAGCACGGTCGAAGAGGATCTCTCTGTTGCAATGCTTTGATGTATATACATTGCATCCCATAGCCTGAAATACTGTTAATAATCTCTTAACATCCTTAGTGACATATTCCCCCATTCCCCCAGTGCAAGATAAACCCCTTTGTTGCAGAAACATCTGATTGATGTATGGGTACACAAGAAGTTTTTTTACAAGAAAAATGTCTTAACTCAACGTGCACAGCATAGGGAAGTCTGGATGGGGTTTAAAATTCTATATCTTCTATAGATTACTGACATCGACTCCCTGTTTGCGGGCTAAAATTGCAGACCTGTGCAGCGAGGGCTCAGAACGTGGGGAATTGCCATTATATGTTCACAACACCAAGCGCAAGTCGGAAAGATTCTCAAGCAATAAATTGAGAACATCTCTGCTTCTAACCACAACTCTCCCTCCCCCACAACCAACCACTTCCACACCATAATTTTTATTTGTTTACATCTATTTCTCTGCCCTTCCCGCCCCCCCGCACTCCTCCCACTATTAGCAACACCAAAATTATTATTATTAATAATTATTAAAATGATTAGCACTTGTATAGCACCCCTCATGTAAGGTAGCGTCCCAGAGTGCTTTATAAAATGCTTGTAAATTATAAAGCACTTTGGTTGATTAAATGAGACTTTACTTTGTATATTATACATTATACACTGGTCACACTTACGGGCCATCAGGCTGCCAACGTCAAGTGATGTGTGTGTGTGTGTGTGTGTGCATAAGTCTCACTGTGTGTGTGTGTGTGTGAGTGTGTATTTGTTTCGATTTGCACTCCGCTCTGTCTCTTTCCACTATTAATTTCTCGGCGAGACAGAACCCGTGATAATTGCAGTCCTCATTACTCCTTACTGCTTGTTTCAGCACTTTAGAAAGTTAATGCTGTATCAAACGCAGAGCTGCTGGTCTGATTACTTGCAGTACTTAGTAACAGGGTGATGAAAGTCTCGGCTTTAGGACTCGCGGAGAATTAATTAGACTTTGCGGGGAAAGCGTTAATCTGATTATAATTAGCTGCTGGACGCAGAATGCACCTCTGGGAACGGAAGATTAATGCTATCTTACCAACAAATAAAAATATTCCTCAGTTATGTTAAAAGAGCAAATTTACTTATTATTAGGGGACAAAAATGCAGGCTGCGCATTCTCATCTAGCCTTTTGCCATGAACTGGATCCCCTGCAGCATAGCTGTCACAGAGGCAAAGATAGAGGGTCCTCATTAATGCAGCGCACACCAGGCAGCGATGCTGAAACCTTCACCAATGCTCACAGAGGACGAAAGCCTCGATAGTAAAACTGTATATCCATGGTTACTCCATCCCGAGTCAGCGAACACGCTTGTCAGCCCGAACCATCGCCGCTCATTTGTTTGTCCGCGTTTCAGGATTGCCCCCAACTCATCCCGTCGGAAGAGATTCTGATCCCGGTCGGAGAGGTGAAACCGATCACGTTGAAGGCACGGAACCTGCCACAACCACAGTCCGGGCAAAGAGGCTACGAGTGTGTCCTTGATATACAGGGAGTGATCCACCGAGTGCCAGCTCTGAGGTTTAACAGCTCCAGCGTTCAGTGTCAGAACGGTTCGGTAAGTTAGCCTCGGTCTCTGGAACACTCCCCCTCTATCTATCCCTCCGCCTCACCCCTTTCTTCTTTCCTTCCTTCCCCATCTTCAGCTCGAGCCTGTAGACCTTCCTCTTCGAGCTTCCCCCCGTGGGGTGATATCTGGACTGGAATCGCTCGCTCTCTTTACAAATTGGATCAACCACAAAGATCGACTGAGTGATAAAGTCTAGCCGTCTGGCAATGTAGAAAGCAATAAACAGCTACTAAACTGACTCACTGTTGGGACAGCAAATTGAAATGCCTAATCAAAGTTTGGAAGCTATTTATTACCAGCTTAGAGGAGCTTACTCTATCGTGGCTGTATTGCGTTTTTAGTACGAAGAGATAAGCGAAAGTTGGTTGCATTTTTCCTTTACGCCGATGTTATCTTGTGATACAAACAACTACCGAAATATCTCTGCTACCTGCACGGCTGAAGTACGACTTAAATCTTGTAGTAATGGGTCAGGACCACCTGTGGTGATGGTGGGATTACTTTTCAGAAAACTCTTCCCATCAGAAAGTTTTTTTTAATAAGTAACATTCGATTCCGTTGCACGAAACTCAGACTGGCACAGAGCAGAACATCGATTTCTGTTTTACGACTACACTTGTACGCTGATAAATCAATGACTACTTTGGCCACAGTTCCTTTGCTTAAATTGGGATTCCTGCAACCTTCACGTTAAAAGAAACCAATGGACAAATATTTGCACCTGTTTGTCCATTCATGGAGAAATGCGCCAGTGCACGATAGGAAAAACCTGAACTTACTTATGGAGGAGATCTGATAAAAGACTCAGTGATATGCGTTGTGTCATTCGGGTAAACTGCCAGTTGATTGACTTTATTTAGGACAGATAATTAGACAGCGCTGCATTCCACGATTCGGAGTCCCAAAACCTGTGTAAATCCCTGTGATACATTTCCCTGCCTGGATCAGATTGAGTTGATCTGGAGTTAGCTCTCAGCAGTCAAGAAAAATGGAGCTATGATTGACAAGCAGTGTCCCACCAACAGTCTTGGATTGAGCGACCAAAAAATTATTAGTTTTTTTCCAATTATTTTTTTTGAACGGATTCTTACCCCCGGAAAAGCGATCCGCCATTCGACTAACAACCGGGTTCCCATGATTGACAGCCCGTGATATTGATTGCGATTTGAAATCAGCTCACGGCAGTGTTTTCAAAAAAAATAATCAGGTGGCAGTTAAGCCTTTTGTTCCATTATGAAAAACTAATCGGATAATGGTTCGTCGTATTATTTTCCTAGGCTTTGTTTTCTTAGTTCTTCCTGTCAGAGAGATCAACAGCCACGATGGCTGTTTGTGTCCAATATGTGTGAGGCAGCTCACGTCTTCAGCTCGTGAAGAACGAGCTAAGATCACATCCACTGTTCCATGTCTCTGGCTCCAGGTTGCAACCAGTCAGTTACTGCCCACAAATATACGGTCAATTCACTTTACAGTCTATTCGGTGAAGCGCTTTGAGACGTCGAGAAGATGTGAAAAGCGCTATATCAAATGCAAGGGTTATTTTTATTGTTATTACCGAGACGCACGGTATAATAAGGATTATTATTATTATTATTATTATAATGTTCAGGGTTTAACTTCCTTCGCGCCAAGGGCCTGGCAGGGTGTTCGAACACGTTTGTCAAAGTGGCTTTTAAACGTGCCTGAAAATAGTCACCACAGGTGAGGCACAGGGATTAAGAAGGCAGCTGATCAGAAACGGTGGTTCAGACTGGGCTTTTAAGTAAGTCAATGGACGGTATGCTTGACCTTGTTCGGGTACAAATCGATTGTGGCCCGAACTGACAAACTCATATGCTTTGAAAGGTCCAGGCCTGGAAAGGCTAGAGCCTTACAAGTGTACAAAGCAAGGGATACAGACGTTCAAAAGCCTGAAGGCCACTTCATCAAGGTATTGGAGTGGCAGCGAGGTGTGTAATTATACAAGGGCGCTGACATGACTGGTTCCGAAATGGAATCCTTATCATGGGTTAAACTAGCTTTGCCCTACGTGTGTGTGTTGTTCCACAGCAGGGAAGGAGGGTGGCGGGGTGGCTGTGCGCTGGGGGTGAGGTGACAGGGGCCACTGAAGGTAATAATTCAGCTCTAATAGATAAGAGAAACGAAAGGCTCTTATCAGCCGCTGTCAGTCTTCAGGGCATTCACGGCTGAACTGAACTCCGTGAGAGTCTCACTCACTGGATACCAATGTGTTCCGGACAATTTTTTTTCCCCCCAACACCTGAACTTGAGTACAGTCGCAGGTTTGTCCTTGTTTGCAGTTGGCCGAGTTAATAGAGGCCACCCTGTAATCAAACCTCTTCTGTGGTTGATCGCCAGAGGAGAACTTTGATGGGACAGAAATGTAGTTTGATGGCACAGATCCCATTGACTGCTCTCGCCCCGAGTTGGATTCTCAATGTGGAGCTGGTGAAGCCCATCTTCTCGAGGGCAGGCTGGTTCAGATCGCAATCAAAGCTCTGATCCAGTCTGGTCTGAAAGTCCCATGTTCTGTTACTGCAGGCAGCGGATTTTATTTCAATATTTTATTTCGTCTTTGAAGGGATAGGGTTTAGCTGCTCTAATTTAATCGGTTCTTTTCCCAGCTTTAAACACGTGGCATTCACTGGGTCCGTCGTGCATTTGACGTGCCGCAACCATCACAATTGCAGGCGATATCCTAACCATCCTTCAAAATACATATTTTAAAATATATATACATAAATAAAAAATATTATTAAGGTCTGACGTCCCCCTCACAGAGAACGCAACACAAAAAAACGAAAGAACCAGAGTTGTTACGATCTGGAATGCACTGCCTGAAAGGATAGTGGAAGCAGATTCGATAATAACTTTCATAAGGCTATTGGATATTTACTGGAAAAGAAAAAAAAATTGCAAGGCTATGGGGAAAGAGTGGGGAGGAATGGGACTAATTGAATAGCTCTTTCAAAAAGCTGGCACAGGCACGATGATAATCATAATAAAAATAATAATAATACTCCTCGCATTTGATATAGCGCCTCATCGCGTCTTCGAGACGTCTCAAAGCGCTTCACAGGATATACTGTAAAGTGAATTGACTGTACAGTTTGTGGGCGAAACGCAGCAGTCAATTGCGCCCGGCAGCGTCCCACAAACAGTCGTGAATTGAGTGGGCCGAGTGGCTTCCCTTCTGTGCTGTAGGATTCTCTGATTCTATGCATGTCTCACCATCGCGCTTCTGTGCACTGTGCGTCCCCTTCCCCGCTTACACTTCAGAACGTTTCCGTGACTTTGCTGTGTTTCGGTCCGATGCGTGTGACTTGTTTTGTTTTCTAACTTGCGGAACAATCAATCCCTATTCCAGTACCTGTACGATGGAATGGAAGTCAGCGACCTCCCCGTTGAATTCTCCGTGGTGTGGAATGGAAATTTCATCATCGACAATCCGGCAGACATCAAAGGTACAAGCTGCGTAAGGCAGACCTGTTAAAGTTGGCTTGGTTTGTGGGTGGGGGGGGTTTGGGGTGGGAACTCACTAAAGACCTGAAGCTTGCGATAGCCTGAAGATTCCCCAAGCCCATCACCCCCCATCCTTGCTCAACTCCACTGGCTCCCTATTCTTCCAGTGGATCGAGTTCAAAATCCTCACTGTCTGGTTCAAAACCCCCCACGGTCTCGCCCCACCCTACCTCCACGACCTCCTTCAATCACAGCGACTTGGCTGATCCCGCCACTCATGTCCCCCTGCTATTCTTCCTCACCATGGGTGGGAGGGTTTTGAGCTATTCTGTCCCCGCGCTCTGGAACATTAACTCCCTCCAACTCACTTCTTCCCTCCCCTTGGTCCCCTCCCTTACTAAAAACTTACCTTTTTCCCCTCTTTTCCCACACGCCCCCATCCACCAAACCCCACCCCCAGGCCTTCCACCCTCAGCTCGGGCCCACAAACAAACACTGTCAAGCATTTTGAGATGTTCTCCCGAAGTGAAAGGCGCTGTCTAAATGTAAATTGCATTGTGCTGTGAGCTTTCAATCCTAAGGAGATAGACTCAGTCTTGGAGATTGTGCACCTTGTAAAATATTCATTTCCTATCTCGTAGACTGAGTTCCCCGTTTTACTTGTATCAAAAATGTTATTTTTTTTTAAATTGCACTTCAAAGGCTGTTATCATTTCTACTCACTGCCTCCAAATTACATCGCACGGAATACAGCCTTGTTTATCCACACAATTTGCATATGTTTCGCCAAAGGAGCTCTGAATCTTCTGCTTATTACAGTTCCTCCTGCTCCTCCTCATGTCACTTATGGCATTAGTGATCTTAGGGGGTCCGGGCGAGGGAGGGAAGGTAATAATATAATAATAATCCTTACGCTTGTTACAGTGCCTTTCATGTCAGGATGACAGCCCGAAGTGCTTCACAGGATTCACTGCCTGTGTATTTTGTAGACAAAATATGTAATGACATCCTGATATCAGGAATGACCCAAATGTCAGCTCTACAGGCTGCCTGGAGTTTCTGTAGTACAATACAGAGGAACAAAAAGGTGCATCACTTCACTTCACAGGCTTCTGCTTCCGTCTGGCGCAATGGTGGCGCTCTCATCTCCCTGAGTCAGAAGGTTGTGGGTTCAAGCCCCAGGTCAGGACTTGGAATCGAACAGTCCAAGCTGACACTCCATTGCAGTGCTGGGGTGGGGGAGAGTGTTGCATTGTCGGAGGTGCCGTCCTTCGTACGAGAGGTTAAACCGAGGTCCCATATGCCTGTTCAGGTGGATGTTAAAGATCCCGTGGTGTTCTGGCCGTCAATCCCCCACATAAAATTAGCCACTCACTTCCATGGATGTTTGTGGGACACCACTGTATGCAACTGGCTGCTGCGTTTCGCCCACAAAATACACAGTCAATCCACGTTACAGTACATCCTATGAAGCATTTGGAGAAGTCTCGACCACGTGGTAAAGGGGCTCAATGAAATGCAAAGATTATTCTGAGTATCAGCATTATAAATCTAATTACGCCTCACAGAATAATTCATCAAAATAAGGAAGGGCTAATTATTTCAGACAAAATCATTCACATGTTTTTAGGGTTATAATGGAGCGGCAAAATAAAGTCTCAATTTCCATGACTTCTGGAATTGTAGTAGCAGATGGTGCGTGAAAGGAAGATTAATGTTCGTGGCGCTTTGCTGTAATACCTCTCTAGTCTCACACCACCTTTGTCACTGAGAAGTTTTTGACGGACGGCTAAACCGTGTCACCTGTGGCAGGTTTGTTTTTCCCTGAATTGATTCTTCTTGTCACCTGCCCCGATCATTTTTTTTATATAACCGTATCCAAGATTGGGATAACAGGCAGTGTTTGCCCGAAACACAGCGTGACATATGGTCGTCAGTTCTGTTTAACCTCTCTCCCTCTCTCTCGCTCTCTCTTTGGGACGGAAACTTAACAGCTCTACGAGAAGAGCAATGGAAAAGCTTGATACCTGTCCTCCTCATCATACCTGTTCCGGCTGAGAAACCAGTCCAAACCCTTGGTTGTTCACGTGGGGCTCTCCTCTAGGTGTGAACCCCTGACATTTATTCACCCAAAGAATGCAAAACGAGCGCATTCAGCGCCTCCAAACCCGCGGTGTCGTGGGAAAGCCGAAATGGCCGACTCACTGCCATCACGTAGCTGCGGGCCAACTCCACGCCATCGCCGACCTCGCTTCCCATGCGCCGCCTGGCGTTCCGAAGACCGGCCGAGCGATCCATCTCTGTCTGCACCCGTGAATCATGGCAGCATCAGTAGGGATTATTATGGATTGCCTTACCACGGGGCTCCACCGTAATCTGCTCATTTAAAACCATTGGCTTCTGGTGTTTGTTTTCCAAGTTTAACACCGAGGTATACAGTGCAGTTGGGGTTGGGGATGTGTGGGGGAGGGTGGGGGGTGGAGGCGGTGTTGTAGTGTGGATAAGCATTGAGTTTATAACCCTTTAAAATGCCGGGACTTCACTCTCGTCCTCCTCTGCCTCCAGTTCACCTGTACAAGTGTGCGGCGCTGAGAGAGAGCTGTGGCCTCTGCCTGAAAGCCGATCAGAAGTTCGAGTGCGGCTGGTGCAGTGGAGAGAGCAGGTGTACCCTGAGGCAACATTGCCCGCGGCATCCAGCCACTGGTTAGACCTGTCCAGCAAGAACGTGAAGTGCAGCAATCCCCGTATCACTGAGGTAAGCAAAACCCAGCCAGCGATGATGCTTTGCTCCGTCCTGTGCTTTATAATGGGGGAGAGGCAGAGGAGGGGTGGGGGGCTGCTGAACAGTGGTTTACTATGGGCAGAGAAATGTGCAACTCCTGCTGACCTTGTGGTTCGGAGGAAAATATACGAGTTAATGCCTTTTACTGATGATTTTGTTGAATAACACGAGTTGAATTTACATGTCAGCCTGGCTCAGTTGATAGCACTCTCGCCTATGGGTCAGAAGGTTCTGGGTTCAAGCGCCACGTCAGGTCTTTTAGCTCGTAATCGGAGCTGCTGTCCTTCAGATAAGGCGTTAATCCGAGATCCTTTCCTGCCTGTGGAGGTGGACGTTAAAAATCCAATGGCACTATTCAAAAAAAAAGAGAGTTTCCCCCAGCGTCCTGGCCAACAATCCCCCAAATAAAATTGCAGATTTATCTCATGGCTGTTCGTGAGACATTCTGTACAGATTGTCTAGAAACTCACAGTCAGTGCACTTTAAAGTAAAGCTTGTGAAGCACTTCCAGACATTTCGATGATATGATATGGTGCTATATCAAACGCCAGGATTTTTTTTTATTGAGCAAATAAAATATACAAAGCCCAGTGGCTTCCCCACACACATTCCACTTGACAAAGCCTTCTCGTTGTCCATTTAGAATATCCTTTTTTTCCTTTGCCTTTTTCCATGTTTTCCATTTCGCTTACCCCATCATTGCGCCTCACAAAGTCATTCAGGTGGAAACAGGGCAAATGCAACAGCTGAATATAGAGAACAAACCATTCACAAATCACAAATATAGCACGACAGGAGTTTAGTTCGTTAACGATTGCCAGTTTGGCTTTGGCCTGACAACCTGGGGGTTAAGCCAAAACATTGTCTGATGGAATTTTTCAGTCGCTGGCCTATACGTTAGTAACCTTGTCCGATAAGACATTGATTGTGAATGCCAGCATGCATTGGTGCCATATATTCTGCTCCAGTGCACAAACTTTAATTAAACATTGTTCAGAGTGGAAAATCTAATTAATCCCAAATTGATTGTCTCATTATGTAAGCGCAGTGTGAGAAACCCGACCCAAAGTAACTGTCTTATCATCACACCCGGGGCAGGTGTATTAATCCATCTCTCATGAGCAAATTATTGCCGTCTTATATCGTATCTCTCCCTTATCTCGTGCGCCTCGCTGCAAAAACGTAGCAGCAACAAAACTGTTTCTTTCCCGGCCTCGACGCGACAACACAACGTGGCAATCCCTTTGCAAACTGATTGTTCGGAGCAGGGTGTTAGACGTCTCAGCGTTGGCTGGCCTTAGTCTTACCTCCACGAGGCACTGATTTGGGAATGTGCCAGGTTCGGACAAAATGTTCCAAGCAGCGAGATGGCAAATCCGAAACAAAGCAGTCACAGTCCCAAGAACATTTTGTTAACAGTAACTAGGGAATCATTCCAACGTTAAGAAACTCCCTGCTCGCTCACTCACTCGCTCGCTCACTCACTCAATCACTCGCTCGCTCACTCACTCACCCGTCCACATCTGGCTGAAATGCGTTACGTGTGTTGTGATTGTGCAGATGTTTGCCGCAAGCAATCTTTATTGATGAGCATGCTACCAGGAACAGGAACATCTCTGAAGAGCCCAGTTTCATAATAGACATCAAAGCCATAACTGGGCTCAAATATGCATAAAATAAAGAGACCCCTCCATGTAGGTTTCCTTTCTCTCTCTCTCTCCCTCTCTTTCTCTCACTCCCCCCTCTCTCTTTCTCACTCTCACCCTCTCTCGCTCTCTCTCACACCCAGTTCCTTAATCCATCATTTATTTGACCAGCTTGTCCAACACTTACTCACTCAGCAGCCAATCACCTTATTTGCGTTGGTGCCAGCATTTGCAGTAAAAAGCTCCTTAGTGCCAATCTGATCTCTCAAGTGTCAAAGTAACCGAAGTCACCTCTGAGCGGTAGACTCTTATTGAGTTTTTTCTCTTGCACCAGTCACATTTGACTCCGGCCATCTCCTTGTCCTGTGTGTGTGTTTGTTTGTTTTTTGCTCATCCCAAAGCAAAAGTAGATGTAGTGCGAAAGGCATAGGACAGAGATGATTAATCTTATTGCAGTCACACCACCTCTGTTGAGATTGAACGAAGAATGAGTCCAACCGAGAAGGAGCATTTGTGTGGCAGTCTTCTTAACAGCTAGTGCTGCAAGAGTCCAGTGCGTGTCCCATGAAGATTGACTCTAAATTGGCTGCCCCGTTTCGCCCACAAAATACACAGTCAATTCACTTTACATTTTATCCTGTGAAGCCCTTTGAGACGCCTCGAAGGCATGACAAAGCGCTATATCAAATGCAAGGGTTATTATTGTTATTATAGCACTAGCTTCCTTCAAAACTCGGAGCACTCTTTTACGTGTGCGCAACCTTGAACGTACCGAATAGTTCTCCCCACTGTCTGGAAGTACCTGGAGCACTGGGTTTCGCGAGTTGAGTATAAGCTGGCAGCTGCGAGAGAGGGGATAGTATCGCATTCTCTTCCTCAAAACCATAGTTCGCTACCTTCTCCCACTTAGCCTCCTGCGCTGCTATTCTATTTGCTATCGATTGGCAACCACTGACTGACTGAGCCGTAAAATCTTCCAGCCATTAGCGTGTGCCCAGCAGGAGCCTAGTGCGGTGGATCCTATACTTGTGACAGTAGGTGCACAGAGCTCCGCTTTGCATCTGCTAACCCACCTCGGAGCGGAGAAGCAATCGTACCAGAGTATCCTCACTTTCCGCACTTTAAGCGTAGATCAATTAGTTAGGGCAACAGTCATTGCTGATCTTGAAATCATTTGTAATCTAGTTTCTCCCCCCACCCCGCTGAACACTCCCACATACACACACACACTTATTCCCGCTCTTTAAAGGTCCAAAGGATAAATAGACGGTTCTTCCATTTAACCTTGAGTTCGTTCACATAGAAAAAGCAGCTGAAAGCGTTGCTTGCGTCCGGGTCGGAGATTGTGAATTAGGAAATAAACATGCAGAACGCACTGCTGTTAGTGCGATAGCTTTTACTCTGTGGGAGCTTTTACTCATGCATTCAGTGTCCTATTGTGTGATAATTCTGCTCTAATGGATAACGCAAAGAAATGGGTTAGAAAGCTAAAATGTAGGGACACAGGAACAACAAGAAAAACAACAAAAAATATTACATTTGTTCAGCACCTTTCACATCAGGAGGGCAGTCAGGGATTTGGACCCGAGCTGGGGGTTGGGATCAGGATGGGGTGAAGAGAATTTCTCGACAAAGGAAGACCAAGGTCCAGCTAGTTTACTTTCTATCGTCCTGGTACTCGCATGCTACACCGCATGTACGTTGCTGTCAGAAATTGATGCGTTTTTAATAAAGAATTAGCAATGGCACATTCCGTTTCTCCTGATGTCTTGCGAGTTGGAGTAGATGGATGCTGCAAGATTTACATGAAGGTGTTGATTATCGTAGGGTTTTTGCTTTGCTCTCGTGTGTGTTTGCGCTGCGCTCGTGTTCTTGCTGGAGAATTACTTGCCGTAAATTGACAGAGGAACTGTTGCACTCTCCTGTACTGCAGCTCAAATCAGCAGCATTGTCTCGTGTTGTAGCATCGTTGGATGGTGAACCAAGTGAACTGAAGAACACTTTGCCAGGTTCCCCCAAGCTGCTCTCCGAAGCCACTGTGTTTTGTGTTGACACATGCGGCAACCCATCACCGTGCTTTAAGCCACCGTAGAAACGGTAACAGAGAAAGACTTCTAATGACCATGCATTAGTTGCTGCAGGGGAAGAGAGCAAACCGCGGAAACTCCCATTGATTTGGTTTGTTTCAACTCGTGTACAACCTGTTCTGCTTCCTGAGATAAAAGTACACCTTTAGCCTCTGTGATACCGGCATGCATGATAGTAATAACAAGAACCCTTACACTCGATACAGTACCTTTCACGTCCAGAGGATGTCCCAAAGCCCTTCACAGGATATGCAATCAAGTGCAATGACTGTGTTTCTGTGGGCGAATGCGGCAGCCAATTTGCGCACAGAGACATCCCCACAGAACAGCCACGGAGTGAAAGGAAGATCTTGGTTGGCAGCTTGCTGTCTTTCTGCGTGATTGTGATTGAGCTTCTTATTTGAGCTTATACAATGTGCGTTGGTGTACCAAAATGCATCCTGGCTCTGAATACTTAGCAGCTGCACGGCGTAATCTGGAGCGGGTTTCAAAGCAGGCTCGAGGCTTGAGGGAACCTTGTCTCCCGCAGAGCAAGGCTACATCTAGTCAGTCACAGCGAGGTCTGGGCACGCTTTCGCCCGTGCGAAAGACGGTCATAACTCAACTGCACCTGTGGCTCTCCCTGTGAATTATGAGTCTCTCACACTCGTGAAAACACACCCATCACTCACAGCATGGACAAGCTATCCTCGGTAAATCAATTAGAAACCCGGTCTCCCCCGTGCGTTGACCAGCTGTCCCCGTATAAATCAGTTGATCGGTTACATTGCATTAATTGGAGAGCACGAGTGGAGAGCATGTCTATCCATCTCAGTTTTCCTCGTTTTATTTCTCTGAAATCACAACAAAATAATCATCCGTGACATGTTCATATGAAATACAGGAGATTCCCGAGAGCTCAAGACAGACTGATCTTTTTGTAAGTCATAATATCACATTCCAAGAGTTTGCTCTCATTTATATTTCCAGTCAAATGTATTTCAGGCATTGATACGAGACATTACAAATCATTACTACTAATAATAATCCTTGCACTTGACATAGCGCCTTATCAGGTCGTTCGGACGTCTCAAGACGCTTCACAGAATATATTGGAAAGTGGAGTGACTGTGCATTTTGCGCGTCAAACACGACAGCCAATTCCAATCAACGGGTAATGCCGTGGAATTTCGAGCGGGGCAATGAAAGTGGCAGCCTGCAATTTTGGTGGACGAAAATGAACGCGTTTAAACTGTACGGT